AGCTGAATAACATTTTTCATGGGTAATTTTCATTTTAGATGAGCTGAATTACATTTTCTATGGACATTTTTTATTTTAGCTTAGCTGAATTAGGAATTTCGTAGGAAATCTTGAATTTGGTCCAGCTGAATAACAATTCCCATACAAAATCTTCTATTCAGCATAGCTGAATTGTGATTTTTGGAAGAAATCCTTAATACAGACTAGCTGAATTGCAATTTCAATAGGGAATCTTCAATTCAGCATAGCTGAATTACAATTTCTTAAATAAATCTTCAATTACGGGCAGCTGAATTACATTTTCCATGGGTAGTTTTCATTTTAGCCTAGCTGAATTATGATTTCGGTGGGAAATTTCCTATTCAGCTTAGCTGAATTGCAATTGAATTACGATTTCTAAAGAAATATTCAATTTATAATTGCTGAATTACATTTTCCATGGGTAATTTTCATTTTAGCTGAGCTGAATTCTGATTTCGGGGGGAAATTTCTAATTCAGCTTAGCTGAATTGCAATTTTCATATGAATTCTTCAATTCAGCATAACTGAATTACGATTTCTTAAAAAAATCTACAATTTACGGTTGCTGAATTACATTTTTCATGGGAAATTTTCATTTTAGCTGAGCTGAATTCTGATTTCGGGGGGAAATTTCTAATTCAGCTTAGCTGAATTACAATTTTCCTACGAAATATTTGATTCGGCCCAGCTGAATTACATTTTCCATGTGTAATTTTCATTTTAGCATAGCTAAATTGGCATTTCTATGCAAAATCTTCATTTTAGCTTAGCTGAATTACGATTTTCTTACGAAATATGCAATTCAGCTTAGCTGAATTATGATTTTTAGAAGAATTCTTTAATTCAGCCCAGCTGAATTATGATTCTGGTGGAAAATCTCTAATATAGCCCAGCTGAATTACAATTTCCTTATGAATTTTTTTATTTACGTGCAGCTGAATTACGATTTCTGGAGGAAATTTTTAATTCAGCTTGGCTGAATTATAATTTCTTAAACAAATCTTTCATTCAGCTCAGCGGAATTACGATTTCCTTACGAAATCTTAAATTCCCCCAAGCTGAATTGCATTTTTTGTAAGAAATCTCTAATTCAGCTTAGCTTAATTTCGATTTTCAATAGAAATTTATCATTTAGGCCAGCTGAATTGAGAAATTTTCAATGCAGCCTAGCTAAATGGTGTCTACTTTTCGAATATTTTGTATTTAACCTAGCTTTTTGTAAAAAAAAATTAAAATTTCATGATTGATTAGGCCTAAATCCGTTTTGATTTGAAATTCAAATTTTAACCTGTTTCCATAAAAAATTCAATTCAACCCAATCGAAAATATGTCATGCCACTAACGTCAAACGATTGCCTAATTTCTAATGGAGAAATACGGCCAGCAGCAGCGTCAACAAGCAACCAGCCTATGGACAGACCTCATAAATTATTACAAAATGTTTCTATGACCATTTGTTTGATTGCTCGGTCGATCGTCCGTCCGTCCATAACCCAGCTACATCATTAATTAAAATCAAATGGACAGACATCCAACCAGCCGAGCAAAGTTACATATTTCGCCATTTAAGAAAAAAAAATCAAAGTCTAAAAATTCGAATCGGCTGCTAGGCAGGCTCGTTTCATTTCGTCTCCGCACACAACAATGAAATCGAAAGTGCGTGATTTATTTTTGAATTTTTTTTTTTTGCTTTTTTATGATTTTCGTCTGCCAACACTCACGCACCGAAAAAATTTCAACGTTTGCTGCGTGGCGTTGTGCGTATGCCGGGCAGAGCTGTTGCGTAAATGTCGAAAGATAAACAAGGCGGATGAATGGGCAAATAAGGTGGACGGACAGACGAACGAACGCACATACCTAATACATATCTACAAAAAAAAAAAAATGTTGGCAAACCTTATGGCCTAGTGATCGTGAAACGCATTTTTTTTCCACCACACTCTCTACTCTCCAACCAAGAGACCCCCTCCTCCTTCTTACCATTTCACAAAAGAAATCAAGTGTTCATTTTTTTTTTCTACCATACGCAAGTGTGCGTGAGTATTAGAGCGTAGCCTCAATTCTTTCCAACTGTCATTAACAAACAAAAAACGAAAACGGCAAACAGACGAATGAGAAATAGGCCTACAGCAAACAGAAACATGATTTACAACACACACGCACACACACACACACATACATTTTTGTTACCTTTCGTTTTCATTAACAATAATTATGTGTGGTTAAGATCGCGGGGGGACTAAAGAGAGCGAGAGGGGGAACTCACTTTCAGCGAAAGTCCATAACAATCGTTGTTTGCACGCACGCACGCACAATACGGCAATATCACTAAGCAAGCCTCATATGTGAACACATTCAATTATGCGTTACGCACTCTCTTGCACACACGCACGCACTTTGTCCCACTCAGCATTCATTTCTCTTGTTCAACATACGCCACAGAGCACAACAATGCAGGCACACTCTCTCTGTTTCTATTGGCCTTTGCATTGCACACCAAATGTACCACACATACGCCTCAGTGTACTTAGTACACATGCATGCATTAACTTACTTTGGTTAAGCCCATACTCTCTCCCTCACTACCTCTCTCTCTCCTGCTTTGTGTGTTGTTGTTGATTGATTAACTTACATTGTAAGTGTGGGGGCTTACATCGGTTGTCTTGTTAAGCCACTGTTATAACTCGGGTTTTGTTGTTCGTGTTTCGCACTCTCTCTTTCTCTTCTATGCTTACATTATGAAGTAATCGTTGAATTGAGTGTAGAGCAGTGTTGTCAATGTAGCGCTTTTTTGATAGAGGAAATTAATTGATGTACATTAATGAGTATTAAAAAAATTGAATGTTATTTATTTTTTTAATAGAAAATTAAAAAAAAAACAGCAGAAAAAAATTAATTAAAAATTAATAATTTACATTTAATAAAAAATATAAATTAAAAAAAAAATAAAAATTAAAAATTACCAAAAATTAAAGAAACAAAACTAAAATTAAAAAAATAAAAAATTAAAGACAAAAAAAAAGAAAAAATAAATAAATATATAAACTAAAAATTAAAGAAAAAATATATATAATAAAAAATTGTTATTAATAACGCATTGTTATAAATAAAATTAAAAAAAAAATAAAAATAAAATTAAAAAATAAAAATAAAAAAATAAAGTTAAAAAAAATAAAAGTTAAAAAAAAATAAAAGTTAAAAAAATAGAAATTAAAAAAAAAAATTAAAAAAAATAAAAGTGATTATTTATACTCTTTCGAGTCGAGCTTGATGATCTGAATTTTGCAATGAAAAGGAAAGCCAGGAGAAGAACCTACGTACCCACCATTATGCGACGCGTTTCGCCGTTGGTTAAGCGGCTCATCAGGCATATTGGGCTATGTGGCTTTACAAAGGTCGTACGTTGATAACTTGTATTTATTCCGCCCTGATGCGAAACTTGCATATGCGAATTGAATTCAATTTTGTCAAAGTTCGACATTTGTCTTCTGTTCTAGGAACAGTCCTTTTCAAAGCAGATTTTTGTTGTAGCGATGGATAATTAATCCACACACCTACAATTGCTTCCATCGTATATACACATGTTTTTGCGCAACCGTTTTGGAAGTGTGTTGGTGGCTCAGAACGTTAAGTGGTCTTGGTAACATTTTGTGTTGCTCCGAGGACCTAGGTTCGAGCCCTAGCCGTGCTCGGCTGAAATTAAATTTTGTTATTTGAATTTTTGTGATCATTTGAAAGTGATTTAATATGACCATATGATATCCTACACAACTGTTTGTTCTATGAATTTATTTTATTTTTTATTTCACAATTTAATTTAATTTTTATTCAGCGATTTTTCTCTCAATGAAAACATTTTGTTTTTTTATTAAGCTAATTTGTTTACGGTTTGGCGATTTTTTTTATTTAGCAATTTTTGTTATTATTTAAATACAAATTTGGGGGTTTTTGTTTTATTTTGGCGATTTCTTTCTTATGAAAAACATTTTATTTTTTGTTTGTTTTACATTTTGTCGTTTTTTTTCTTATTGAAAAACAAATTTTGGCGTTTTTTTACTTTGGCGATTTTTTTATTCAGCGATTTTTTTCTTATGAAAAACATTTGATTTTTTTATTAAGCATTTTTTTACATTTTGGTGATTTTTTATTCTCCAATTTTTTTTTTTTTTTTTATTATTTAAAGACAAATTTTGGCGTTTTTTACTTTGGCGATTTTTTTATTCAGCGACTTTTCTTATGGAAAACATTTGATTTTTTTATTAAGCAATTTTTTGTTTTACATTTTGGCGATTTTTTTATTCTGCAATTTTTTTAGTATTGAAAAACAAATTTTGGCGATTTTTTTTACTCAGCGATTTTTTTATTATGAAAAACATTTGATTTTTTTTTACTACGAAATTTTTTACACTTTGGTGATTTTTTTATTCTGGCGTTTTTTACTTTGGGGTTTCTTTTTCATTCAGCGATTTTTTTCTTATGAAAAAAATTTATTTTTTTATTAAGCAATTTTTTTTTACACTGGTGATTTTTTTTATTCTGCAATTTTTTTTTATTATTGAAAAACAAATTTGTGGCTTTCTTTTACTTTGGCGATTTGTTTATTCAGCGATTTTTTTTTCTTATGAAAAAAATTTTTATTAAGCAATTTTTTACATTTTGGCGATTTTTTTATTATTGAAAAAAAAAATTTTCGATTTTTTATTCAGCTATTTTTTTCTTATGAAATACATTTTATTTAACAAATTCCAATTAAGTTTGTTATTTCATGTCAAAAATGTCATTTTTCTATGAATTTTCTGAATTAGGCGTTTTTTTATGTTTTGGCGTTTTTTTAATAAAACGCACATTGTCATCACTTTGTAATTGAGAAGCAGTAAGATACCCCTGTTGAACGCACACACACACTCTTTTCTATTATGAAATAATAATAACAGAGAATAATCTGTTGCTGTGCACACACATCCAAACAATAACCCAGTGGGAAAATGGAAGGTATGGTAAACGAAGAGGTAATGCATAAACACTATGATTTATACATTCCAGAATTCATTATTGTTAACACGGTCCATGTCCTAGGAAAATAATGCATTCCTTTTGTTTGCCTAAGCGATTCGTAATATAATGCAATCTATATAATGCATTTTGGACAATCTTTTAAGTATACATTATATAATTGATGTATCCCAATGCATTAAATAATTAATACTTTATCATTTGTTTTATAATTCATTCCCCCAGAATACATTAAAATTATGTTCTTTTAATTTGAAATATAATAAAATAATTTATTAATAATAAACATAGTTTATATGTATTTCATAAATATATGTACGTATTCTTAGAATACAAAAACATAAACAAACAAACTCATTGTGAATACATACAAAAACATAAAATGTAATTCATTTTTGGATTATGTTTAAATAAATTCTTATTTCTCGCTACGTTTTTTAGCGAGATGTGTTTTCTTAAACTGCCTTAATTTTATCAAATGGAATGCCTTTTTAACATCCTTCTTATATTCCTTCTCGTCGTATCCTTCCCTCTTTGACACCTCTGCAAAAAATAATATATGTATTAATATGTATATTCTAAAAGTATTTAATGTAGAAAATTTGAACAATTTTACTTACCATACATTAACTTATTTATATTTTCAAAGGACTTAAAAGCCATTTTTCCTTTTATTCCTTCAAAGTTATAGTTCATAATCAATTCTTCGGAAAGTACTCTACATAAGTTTTTTACAACTCCAGAAGGAAACAATATTCTTTCCATGATGGGTATCTGGAAAAAAAGAATTTGTCGTTAATAATCATATTAGCATTTTTTAATATTATTCAATACTTACAAACGAAGCGAAGTCTTCCCCAATTTTTTTCTCAACTTTGTGGAGATCTGCCTCATTTTGTATGGGAAAGTATATTTTTTCGCATCCTGTGTCAATAGAGTATCTAGTTTTATTTCAATTTTGGTCAGTACATTTATACATGTATCAAATTTATCTGCAAAAGTATGAAATTAAAGTGTTGATTTAAATATATATAAAATTATTTATGATGTAATGTTTATGAAATAAAATACTTACCATTTAGTATTTTAATGTTTTTCTCAATATCTTCTATTCGGGCCAATTCTATAATATAAGAAATATGTTATTTATTTATTAATGTATATATGTACTTCCTTTAAACCTCTAGGTTTTCTACAAAACTCCCTAGTTATAAATGGGACAAGGGATGCTAATTTGAACGAAATTTCATCTTTTTTGATCTGATTTATTTTAGTTTTAGTTTTGTTACCTAAAAGCAAGATTATAGTTTTTTTTGCAACACCTAAATCAATGAGATGCATAGGATCTAAAGGGAATTGACTTATCATACCAATTCCAATATCCTCTAGTCCTAAAGTCGCATTTTTACTTAGTCTATGGAAACTGACATTTTTTCTTTTAAAATCTTCATCAGTTCGGGGAATTTTTTACTAAAAACCGTTCTATTTTTTCGCCTACCTATTTGCGTACATTTGCAACATCCCTCTAAGGCATTGTGACCAACGGTTTGACAAAGGAACGCGCGTGCGGGAGCATCACAGATAAAGCTTCTTATTTTTATTGAAATATTTAATTCTCCAAGTTGAAGACCAGTTTCTTTTAAATCATTGAATTCCTTAAGAAAGTTTGTAAATAACTATTTACACTAAACGGCTTTATGGTTCCTTTAAATTCCAATTGGAAAAACTTTAGCTCTCGGGTTATCGGCAATTCTTGCCAAAATTGGCCATAGTGCCAAACTAGAAGATTTATAGAGTGGAATTCCATCCACATTTATATCTAAATAAATGTTATCGCAATGTTTTATTATACTTTAGAGTTTTAACAGTTGATTTTTTAGTCCAATGTGCAGATATGAACCAGGTGTCACTGTCCTAAGGGTACATGTTTGGTTTCTAATTAAGGATTTGGATGACACTGGCATATTAACTGACAGACTTCCGGAAGATAAAACTTTTAATAAGTCATCAAAACACTCTCTAGATATATTATGTTTCACTGCCCAATTTGTTAATCTGCGGTCAAAACTTTCTTCTGCTTCTTCTTCTTCGTTTTCTATATTCAAAGTAGGAATTTCTTCTACACAAATATTTTGTTCACTTGCACAAATTAAATTATTTTCATTTGATGCACTTGCACAACGTTTATTTTTATGTGATATTAAACGCCTCCAATGTCGCTTTGAATACATTTTATAAACTTACGTCTTCACTGTCACACAAATGAAACAAAACTAAACAAATTTACAAATTTCAACAATAACGCGACATGAAGTCGCCCGAAAATAACGGGACACAAAAAAAAAAAAACAAGAAAAAAACTATGAAACTACACATTCCATTATGTATAGATTCTGGAATATAGACACACACAAATGAAATTACCATTTCGCTTCTATTGGGATGAATAATATAATGCATTCCATAACAATAATGTTATAATCATTTTTTTCTCAAATTGCATTCTTTTCTCGACAAATTCTGTAATGTAAATCATATAATGCAAGAAATTATTCATTATCAATGTAATGCATTCTCCATTTTCCCACTGGGAACAAACGTGATGGGGATAACCGTATGCTGGCTGGGTATGCTTGCCTCTCTCTCTCACACACAGAGACTTTCGCTCTCATTGCTTTAATTGTTGCTGTTTTGATAATGTGATGACGTAGAACGGTTATTATTATTTTTTCGTCTTCTTCTTAATCGTTTGTTGACGAGTGGGTGGGTGAGTGGGAGAGTGAGGGAGGGTGGTAGGTAGGTTGGGAGAGTGATGGGTTGTGAGTGAGGTAGGTAAGGGAGATGGGTTGTTAGTTAGGGTGTATATTATTAATGTGATGAATGCATGATAGCATGCATAGTTATGTTGTTCACTAAACACCCAACCACCCAATCCCCCCTTCTCTCTCTCTATGAATTTCTACAAACAGGGCTATTTGTTGCTTTTATTGTTGTTGGTATACGTGATGCTTTACAATGCATTTTCATGTATTGTCGTGTTTATGATATGGTAATATCATGTTGTTGTTGTTGCTGTTATTGTTATATTGTGATTATCACAATTGTGCTGTTGTCGTTGTTGTTGGTGTTTTCATTGTTGTTGCTGCTGCATATAAAGAGTATAACTCTTTTATAATTTGTAGTTTTTTTGCTCATTTATTATTATTTCATTTCATTTTTTTCTTTTTGTGTGTTTATATAATTTTTATTATTATTGTTGTTGCTGTTGTCGCTGTCACTGCGGCCGTTAATAATAAAAATAATAAACGAACAACAACAATAACACTGAAAAAAATTTATATGACTGGCGGCGGCAGCAGAGAGCGCTCGGCCGGCGGTCGGCTGTCGACGGCATCGGCAATGCTTTACGTTTCGTTACCGAAAAACTAGGTTAGTGGGTCACGCCATATCTAATGAACAAAAAAAATTTATATATACAGACAAACACAATCACACACACACATTATCACATAAAGAAATAATAAAAACATTATCATGTGGTGCGTGTGATTGTGTGTCTGTATGTACAAATAATTCACAAAACATATCAAAAATAGTAACAGCAACAACAACACCACCAACAACAACAATAATTATAATATTCAATTGACTATTCCAATGTGGTTTTTGTTGGAATTATTGTCGTCGTCGTCTCTGTAAATGATAGAGTGCCAGTGCGACAGTCAGTCATTTCAGTCATTCAGTGGAATTGTATTTTATGGCATATATGTTCGTGTGTGTGTGGATTGTGTCACGTCTGTTTGTCGCACTGACTGGCTGGCACTCAGTTTCATATTTATGCAAAACTAACAACAACAAGAAGAAAAAAATAATTTTTATTTTTAATTGTTTTTTTTTTTTGGTTTCGATTTTTTTTTTGTAAATTCTTGGATTTGAATTTTATGTTGTTGTAGTGGCTTTTTCGTTGTTATTAGGTAATATTAAATATTTACAAATAAAAATAATTGATAAGATCTGATGACAAATATTTTTTGGGGGATAAAAAAAATTACTGAAATTTTTTGGAAATTAATTTTGGATAAATTTTAAATATTATCCAAATTTTTTTGGATAACCGAAAAATGTTATCCGCGTTATTTTTATGTTATCCAAGGTATGTGGATAATAGAAAAATTTTATCCGCGTGATTTTTATGTTATCCACGATATCAGGATAACAGAAAAAATGTTATCTTCGGTATGTGGATAAAAGAAAAAGGTTATCCTCGGTATGCGGATAACAAAAAAATTTTATCCGTATTATTTTTTGTTATCCACAATATGTGGATAATCCGCAAACTTAATCCACGGTATGTAGATAACAGAAAAATATTATCCCAACCATGTGGACCCACCCTGCAAACTATCTTTTTATTTATAAGCGCCCCTTCCCTTAGAAAATGCGGTTACAACCTACAAAATTTTGTCGAATATAGAGCGGAACATCGATTCGGACGCTAAATAAAGTCATGGACCTATATTGATTTTTTATTGCTCTGATTCCATAGAACCTGCAGAACTAATTTAATGTCACTTCGTTGAAGTTTCTTAAGCTCTAATTACCCTGAATGCAGAAATACCGCCACTTTGGTGGGAAAATTGTGCTAAGGTCCATTAAAAGACCTAAAATAAGGGTGGAACCTCAATTCGGGGCATATGACTAAGCATTAACCTAAATTTAGACTTGATTTCAGAGGTTCTAAGAACCTGGTGAACCAAATTACAGTCACTTTGTTGCAAAAATTCAGCTTAAATATCCGATAACAAAATGTGGACCCATATTAAAAATTGTCTACAAATATGGTTTCATAGCAAATTATAGCCACTTCGTTAAGAAAATTCGGTCGGGACCTCTATGAGGAGCTTATCTCATATCAATTATTTTTTTCAAATATATTTTTGTAGCCCTCCATAAATTCGGAATACCAAAATACAGTCACTTCGATGGAAAAATCCGACTAGGTACAAGAAAGTACCTAAAATAAGGGCGGATCCTTAAAAAGATCCTGTGTCAACCAACTTATTACAATTTTCGGCGATGAAGTTTCTTACCCCTTAAGAGCCTGAAATACAAAAATACAGCCACTTCGGTGAGAAAAATCCGACTAGGTCCTGAAATGAAGCTGTACATTTGAACCGAATCTGTGTCAAAACATGAACCTACATTGTCAATTTTGTTTCGGAGGTTCCTCGCACATGGAGAACCAAATTACAACCACTTCGTTGGGAAAAATACGGCCTAAAACATCGAAAATGCCGAATATTGGTCGAGATCTGTATACGGAGGCTATACCAAGACATAAACCTGCGTCGGAAAATAGTTTTCGAGAGTTTCAAGAACCTGGAAAATCAAATTACGGCCACTTCTTTTGGCGAATTCGGTTATAACCTTCTAAAAATGCCGAATATAGGTCAGGATCTGAATCTTGAGGCTATGTGAAGGCATGAACCTATATTGAAAATGTTCGGAAAATATGTTTTTCAACCTCTAAGAACCTAAGATACCAAATTACAACCACTTCGATAGGTAAGTTTGACAAAAAAAAAAAAACTTCGAAATATACAGAAAATGTGTCGGAACATGTAACGGAGGCTATACCAAAACATGAATCCATATTGATTTCTTTCTGCAGATGTTCTAAGTACCTGGATAATCAAATCACCATCATTTCATTTGGAAAATAGGGCTATAACCTTCGAAAAATGCCGAATATTGGTCGGGATCTGCATATTGAGGTTATATCAATGCATGAACCTGTAGGGAAAATTTTCGGCTATGAAGTTTTATACCCTCCAGGAACCTCGAATGTCCCAATAGAGCAACTTCGGTGGAAAAAATATGTCTAAGTCCATCAAAATACCTGAAATAAGAGCGGAAGTTCTATTCAGGGCCTGTATCTGAGCATGAAAATGTATTGAAT